TAGTGGGGAAAATTAATAAATAGTGGGGTAAATTAATGGAAATTGATAAAAAAATTAATTAAAAGTGGGGAAAATTAATTAATAGTGGGGAAAATTAATTAAAGTTGGGGAAAATTAATGGAAATTGGGGAAAAATTAATGGAAGTTGGGAAAAATTAATTAAAATTGAGGAAAAATTAATGGAAGTTGGGAAAAATTAATTAAAATTGAGGAAAAATTAATTAAAAGTGGGGAAAATGAATGGAAATTGATAAAAATTAATGGAAATGGATAAAAAAATTAATTAAAAGTGGGAAAAATTAATGGAAATTGATAAAAATTAATTAAAAGTGGGGAAAATTAATTAAAAGTGGGGAAAATTAATTAATAGTGGGGAAAATTAATGGAAATTGATAAAAAAATTAATTAAAAGTGGGGAAAATTAATTAATAGTGGGGGAAATTAATTAAAGTTGGGGAAAATTAATGGAAATTGATAAAAATTAATGGAAATTGATAAAAATTAATTAAAAGTTGGGAAAAATTAATGGAAATCGGGGAAAATTAATGGAAATTAGGAAAAATTAATTAAAAGTGGGGAAAATTAATTAAAAGTTGCGGAAAATTAATTAAAAGTGGGGGAAATTAATTAAAAGTGGGGGAAATTAATTAAAAGTGGGAAAAATTAATGGAAATTGAAAAAAAAATTAATTAAAAGTGGGGAAAATTAATTAATAGTGGGGGAAATTAATTAAAGTTGGGGAAAATTAATGGAAATTGGGGAAAAATTAAGGGAAGTTGGGAAAAATTAATTAAAATTGAGGAAAAATTAATTAAAAGTGGGGAAAATGAATGGAAATTGATAAAAATTAATGGAAATTGATAAAAAAATTAATTAAAAGTGGGAAAAATTAATTAAAAGTGGGGAAAATTAATGGAAATTGATAAAAAAATTAATTAAAGTTGGGGAAAATTAATTAATAGTGGGGGAAATTAATGGAAATTGGGGAAAATTAATTAAAAGTGGGAAAAATTAATTAAAAGTGGGGAAAATTAATGGAAATTGATAAAAATTAATTAAAAGTTGTGGAAAATTAATGGAAATTGGGGAAAATTAATTAAAGTTGGGAAAAATTAATTAAAAGTGGGAAAAATTAATTAAAAATGATAAAAATGGGGGGAAATTGGGGAAAATTAATTAAAATTGAGTTAGAATTAATCAAAATGAACAAAAATCAACCAAAATCCACCCAAAATCCCCCAAATTTTCCCCAAATTTTCCCCAAATATTCCCAAAATTCCCCCAAATTCCACCCAAAATTCCCCCCAAAATTCCCCAAATTCCACCCAAAATCCCCCCAAAATCCCCCAAAATGACCCAAAATCCCCCAAATTCCACCCAAAAATTCCCAAATTTCCCAAAAATCCACCCAAAATCCCCCAAAAATCACCAAAATTTCCCCCAAAATTCCCCAAATTCCACTCAAAATGTTCCCAAAATCCCCATTTTTTCCCAAAATCCCCCCAAAATTCCCCAAATTCCACCCAAAATCCCCCAAAATCCACCAAAATGACCCAAAATTCCCCAAATTCCACCCAAAATGTCCCCAAAATCCCCATTTTTTCCCCAAAATTCCCCAAATTCCACCCAAAATCCCCCCAAAATCCCCCAAAATGACCCAAAATCCCCCAAATTCCACCCAAAAATTCCCAAATTTCCCAAAAATCCCCCCAAAATCCCCCAAAATGACCCAAAATCCCCCAAATTCCACCCCAAAATTCCCAAATTTCCCAAAAATCCACCCAAAATGACCCAAAATCCCCATTTTATCCCAAAATTCCCCGATTTTGCCCCAAATTCCACCCAAAATGTCCCCAAAATCTCCCAAAATGACCCAAAATCCCCCAAATTCCACCCAAAAATGACCCAAAATCCCCCAAATTCCACCCAAAAATTCCCAAATTCCACCCAAAATGACCCCAAAATCCCCATTTTTTCCCAAATTCCACCCAAAATTCCCCAAATTCCACCCAAAAATGACCCAAAATCCCCCCAAAATCCCCCAAATTTCCCCCAAAATCCCCCAAATTCCACCCAAAATCCCCCCAAAATCTCCCAAAATGACCCAAAATCCCCCAAATTCCACCCCAAAATTCCCAAATTTCCCAAAAATCCACCCAAAATGACCCAAAATCCCCATTTTATCCCAAAATTCCCCGATTTTGCCCCAAATTCCACCCAAAATGTCCCCAAAATTCCCCCAAAATGACCCAAAATCCCCCAAATTCCACCCAAAATGCCCCCAAAATCCCCCAAAATGACCCAAAATCCCCCAAATTCCACCCAAAATGTCCCAAAAATTCCCCCAAAATCCCCCCAAAATCCCCCAAATTCCACCCAAAACGTCCCAAAATCCCCATTTTTTCCCCAAATCCCCGGATTTTGCCCCGATTTCGCCCCTGACCTGCGCAGGAGGCCCAGGGCGGCTCCGAGGTGACGTCACTGGGGGGGGAACTGCGGAAAATTCCGGAATGGCGGGAAAATTCCTCGGGATTTGGGGGAAATTTGGGGAAATTTGGGAAAATTTGGGGATTTGGGAATTTTGGGGAATTTTGGGAATTTTTGGGAATTTTTTTGGGATTTTTTTTTATTTTTTTGGGAATTTTTCGGGAATTTTTTGGGATTTTTGGGAATTTTTGGGAATTTTTTTGGGATTTTTCGTGAAATTTTGGGAAAATTCCTCGGGATTTGGGGGGAATTTGGGGGAATTTGGGAAAATTTGGGAATTTTGGGAATTTTTGGGAATTTTTGGGAATTTTTTGGGGAATTTTTTGGGATTTTTTGGGGAATTTTTGGGATTTTTTGTGAATTTTTTTGGGAATTTTGGGAAAATTCCTCGGGATTTGGGGGGAATTTGGGGAAATTTGGGAATTTTGGGGAATTTTGGGAATTTTTGGGAATTTTTTGGGGAATTTCTTTGGATTTTTTAAGGATTTTTTTGGATTTTTTGGGATTTTTGGGATTTTTTTTTGATTTTTGGGGATTTTTTTGGGATTTTTTTGTGAATTTTTTGGGGAATTTTGGGAAAATTCCTCGGGATTTGGGGGAAATTTGGGAAAATTTGGGAAAATTTGGGGATTTTGGGGAATTTTTGGGAATTTTTTGGGAATTTTTGGGGATTTTTTTGGATTTTTTGGGGAATTTTTGGGGATTTTTTTGGGATTTTTGGGATTTTTTGGGAATTTCTGGGGAATTTTGTGAAATTTTTGGGGAATTTTGGGATTTTTTTGGATTTTGGGGAATTTTTGGGGATTTTTGGGCTGTTTTTGGGGTGATTTTGGGGTGATTTTGGCTGTTTTTGGGCTGTTTTTGGGGTGTTTTTGGTGTTTTTTGGGGTATTTTTGGGGTGTTTTCGGGTGTTTTTGGGCTGTTTTTGGGGTGTTTTTGGCTGTTTTCGGGTGTTTTTGGGGTGATTTTGGCCATTTTTGGGCTGTTTTTGGGGTGTTTTTGGCGTGATTTTGGCTGGTTTTGGGGTGTTTTTGGCTGTTTTTGGGCTGTTTTTGCTGTTTTTGGGCTGTTTTTGGCTGTTTTTTGGGTGTTTCGGGGTGATTTCGGGTGTTTTTGGGGTGTTTTTGGGTCTCACCCGCAGCTGTCGCTCATCAGCTCCTCCGGCTCCTCCTTCAGCTCCCGGGGGGGCTCCGGCCTGGGGGGAGGGGACAGGTGAGACCAGAATGTCCCCAAATGTCCCCAGAGGTGTCCCCAGACACCTCCAGGTGTCCCCAGGTGTCCCCAGGTGTCCCCAGATCCCCCCAGGTGTCCCCAGGTGTGTTTCTGATGTCCCCAGGTGTGTTCCAGGTGTCCCCAGCTGTCTCCAGGTGTCCCCAGAGGTGTCCCCAGGTGTCCCCAGGTGTCCCCAGGTGTCCCCAGGTGTCCTCACCCGCTGTCCCCCACGTCCAGCTCCAGCCGGGGTCTCTTGCTCTCCGTCCCCGTCCCCTCCCCCGGGCGCTTGGGACGTCCCCAAGGTGTCCCCAAGGTGTCCCCGTGGCCGTTGGGGGCGCTGGCCCCGCCCCCGCTGACCCCGGGGTGGCCCTTGATGACGTCACCGGGGTGGTGCCTCTTGATGACGTCACCGTGGTGGTGCCTCTTGATGATGTCACCGTGGTGGTGGCCCTGGATGACGTCACCACGATGGCTCTTGATGACGTCACCGCGGTGACCCTGGATGACATCATCACGGTGGTGGTGGCCCTTGATGACGTCACCGTGGCGGCCCTGGATGACATCATTGGGGTGGCCCTGGATGACGTCATCACGGTGGTGGTGGCCCTTGATGACGTCACCATGACGGTGGCCCTGAGCGATGTCCCCGAGCCGCTGTCCCTGCCCGATGTCCCCAAGGCGGTGGCCTTGACCGATGTCCCCAAGCCGATGACCTCCATCGATGTCCCCAAGGCGGTGGCTTTGACCAATGTCCCCAGGGTGGTGGCCTTGACTGATGTCCCTGATCTGGTGGCCTCCATCGATGTCCCCAAGGTGGTGGCCCAGCTTGATGTCCCCAGGGTGGTGACCTCCATCGATGTCCCCAGGGTGGTGGCCTCCATCGATGTCCCCAGGGTGGTGGCCCTGCTCGATGTCCCTGATCTGGTGACCTCCATCGATGTCCATGACCTGGTGACCTTGCCTGATGTCCCCAAGCCGGTGACCTCCATCGATGTCGCCATGGTGGTGGCTCTCAGGAATGTCCCCAAGTCTCAGTACCTGCCCGATGTCCCCATGGTGGTGGTGGCCTTGACCAATGTCCCCAACATGGTGGCCTCCATCGATGTCCCCAACGTGGTGGCCTCCATCGATGTCCCCAAGCCGGTGACCTTGACCGATGTCCCCATGGTGGTGGCCTCCATCAATGTCCCCAAGCCGGTGACCTTGACCAATGTCCCCATGGTGGTGACCTTGACCAATGTCCCCATGGTGGTGACCTTGACCGATGTCCCCAACGTGGTGGCCTCCATCCATGTCCCCAAGCCGATGGCCCTGCCCCATGTCCCCAAACCGTTGACTTCCATCCATGTCCCCAGCACGGTGACCTCGATCAATGTCCATCATCTGGTGGCCACCATCGATGTCCCCAAGCCCATGACCTCCGTCCATGTCCCTGATCTGGTGGCCTCCATCCATGTCCCCAAGCCCATGACCTTGACTGATGTCCCCAGGGTGGTGATGCTGGCTGATGTCCCTGGTCTGGTGGCCTCCATCCATGTCCCCAAGTCTCAGTGGCTGCCCGATGTCCCCAGGGTGGTGGCCTTGACTGGTGTCCCTGATCTGGTGGCTTCCATCGATGTCCCCAGGGTGGTGGCCTAGCTTGATGTCCCCAGGGTGGTGACCTCCATCGATGTCCCTGATCTGGTGGCCTCCATCGATGTCCCCAGGGTGGTGGCCTCCATCGATGTCCCCAGGGTGGTGGCCCTGCTCGATGTCCCTGATCTGGTGACCTCCATCCATGTCCATGACCTGGTGACCTTGCCTGATGTCCCCAAGCCGGTGACCTCCATCGATGTCCCCATGGTGGTGGCTCTCAGGAATGTCCCCAAGTCTCAGTCCCTGCCCGATGTCCCCATGGTGGTGGCCTTGACCAATGTCCCCATGGTGGTGACCTTGACCAATGTCCCCATGGTGGTGGCCTTGACCAATGTCCCCAAGCCGATGACCTTGACCAATGTCCCCATGGTGGTGGCCTCCATCGATGTCCCCAAGCCGATGGCCCTGCCCCGTGTCCCTGACCTGGTGACCTCCATCGATGTCCCTGACCTGGTGGCCTCGATTGATGTCCCCAAGTCTCTGTCCCTGCCCGATGTCCCCAAACCGTTGACTTCCATCCATGTCCCCAGCACGGTGACCTCGATCAATGTCCATCATCTGGTGGCCTCCATCCATGTCCCCAAGCCCATGACCTCCGTCCATGTCCCTGATCTGGTGGCCACCATCCATGTCCCCAAGCCCATGACCTTGACTGATGTCCCCAGGGTGGTGATGCTGGCTGATGTCCCTGGTCTGGTGGCCTCCATCCATGTCCCCAAGTCTCAGTCCCTGCCCGATGTCCCCATGGTGGTGACCTTGACCGATGTCCCCAATGTGGTGGCCTCCATCCATGTCCCCAAGCTGATGACCTTGCCCAATGTCCCTGATCTGGTGACCTCCATCGATGTCCCCAACATGGTGACGTCCATCAATGTCCCCAACATGGTGGCCTCCATCAACGTCCCCATGGTGGTGGCCTCCATCGATGTCCCCAAGCTGATGACCTTGCCCAATGTCCCTGATCTGGTGGCCTCCATCGATGTCCCCAAGCCGATGGCCTCCATCAATGTCCCCAAGCTGATGGCCACCATCGATGTCCCCATGGTGGTGACCTCCATCGATGTCCCCAATGTGGTGACCGCCATCGATGTCCCCAAGCCGATGACCTCCATCGATGTCCCCATAGTGGTGACCTCCATCAACGTCCCCATGGTGGTGTCCCTGCTCGATGTCCCCAAGCTGATGGCCTCCATCGATGTCCCCAACGTGGTGACCTCCATCGATGTCCCCATGGTGGTGACCTCCATCAACGTCCCCATGGTGGTGGCCACCATCGATGTCCCCAAGCCGATGACCTT